GAGCCTCTGCATGAGGTTTGATCGGAAGACGTGACGGTTCTTTGTCATTATTGACACATATGAGGTCTGATTTAATATCATTTGTCGGAGGTATTTGTGATCGCTGGAGCATGTGAGGTCTGAGGTCGGATGTCGTGGAGGTTATTTGTGATCATTGACACGTGAGGTCTGAGGTCGGATGACGTAGTAATTGTAGAATGTGGTTACTGACGCTAGATGCCTAATGACGGTAAATGTATGCGCATAACGAACGTTAAACGTTAGAACTTTAAGCGGTGTGTCGTCGTGTTTCAAACTACGCTGAGGAATCGGTTTACATGGCAAAAACACGTGACAAATTAGTTCGCTCACAGGCGTTGTTCGATGATCAGTGATCAGCGTGTTGTTTTGACCATTTTTAACCTAATTATTACAAATTAGAATTTTTGACCGTTTTTGCTTGACATGACATGGCGGTCGAATCCCGAAGGCGATCATTTTACCGCAAGAAACAAAGGTTTATTTTCTCGCTGAAAACCTTCGAAAACTTTGAAAATATGCCGGTGATCGAGCAGCGCCTCAAAGCAGCTTCCGTTGTCGTTTGAAAAACAGCTGTAATCTAGCAATTAATTATAATTTATGCGCTTAAAAATTTTCTAACTTTTTCTAAATGGAAATGGCTTTGGGCGTGACATAAAAGACTCATCTATTTTATTCCGACGTTTCGGTTTCCGTTACAGAAGCCATCATACATCAGGGATGTTTTTTCACAACATGAGGATACAGTATGCTAGAGTGTCTTATATATCACGCCCAAACCCGTTTGCACTGAGAAAAAGGTGAGCATATTTATAACATCGCTCTGAATATGTGCATGTACGTTGCGCTGATTCCGCGTCTGTGAATTCCAAAGACAGTGTCTTATAAGAAAGAGCTTTCGGATTGTCAGTGGCTACAGACACAGGGATGATTCAGAGGGAAAAGACTATATTTATATTGTCTGTGTTTTATTCGCAGCCAGTATTGGGATTTCTGTGAGAAAGGCCGTTCGTTTTAAAGTCAGTTCGTCCTAAGGGAACAGTAATTTATAGGGCTTATAGCATGAGACTTGGTTAGAGATTTTAAAGTCAAAGGTTAAAGTTCAGTTTGAGCAGTACTTGCGTAAAGTTGGCAAATTTTATAAGTCACGTGATTATGCTGGGCAGTCCCCCGTGGCCACGCTCACAGTGGCTTGATTGGAACTGATGTAAACTCCATTCGAAATCTGAAGCAATAGAGGAGACTCGGCACATGTCACAGTGCCATCTCTAGGTACTTACTAACCTGTTCATAACCTCTCGTTGTAGTATTGCTTATGATGATTCGTTCAACTGCCATGTTATTATTCTGAACGTTGAATCGGAAAGAAACTGGTGCAGAAGAATCATTATACTAGGCAAGGAGTGAACACCCCATTTCGGAATTATATTTAATCAGTGTTTAGAATGACAAAAGATTTTACTTTAATTAATATTAATGGAGGCATTAATATTAATGAAAAACTTTTATTTTATAGATTTACCTGTGCGATTGAGCCAGGTTTTGGCTAGATTTTTCAGCCAAGTATTGAAACCACGCCGATTCCATTACTTTAATAAATAAATGTAGGTGGTTTGATGTTATTTCAATATTCGATCTTGTCAACAAGCA